AGGTACAAAAGTTAGCCAGGCCAGGTGGCAGGCGCCTGTGGTGCCAGCTACTCGGGAGGCTGAGGTGGGAGAATTTCTGGAAGCCGGGAGCCAGAGGTTGCAGTGAGCTGAGGTTGCTCCACTGCACTCCAGTCTGGACGACAGAGCGAGGTTCCATTTCCCCCACCAAAAAGAAAAGCTTGTTGCTGTCTTTATTGGGACTGCATTACATGTATACACTCATTTAGGGAGAGTTGATGTCTCTGTGATATTGATCATCCTTTCCAAGAACAAGGGATGTTTTTCCATTTGTTAAGTTTACCTTTGGGTCTTTCAGGAATATTTAAAATTTTCTCTTATATATTCTTCACATTTCTTACTAAGTATATTTCTCAGCATTTAATCATCTTTCTTTTTAATTTAAATGGGGTTTTCTCACCATCACATTTTCTACTTCTGAGCTGTCCAATACACACTGGATTTTGAAAACCTAGTATGAATTAAAGAATGCAAAATATCTCAGTATAATTTTTAATATTGGTTACATGTTTAAATCATAATATTTTTTATATATTAAATAAATCTATTACTACAAAAATCTTAAATTATGTGTGTGGCTCAGACTCAGATTGTATTTTTTGTTTTTTTTTTTTTTGAGAGTCAGAGTCTCCATCACCCAGGTGGGAATGCAGTGGTGTGATCTCAGCTCACTGCAACCTCCACCTCACTGCAGCTTCCACCTCCTGGATTCAGTTCCACCTCCTAGATTTAAGCAATTCTCATGCCTCACTGTCTTGAGTAGCGGAAATTACAAGCCGTGCGCCAGCACACTCCAGTAATTTTTGTATTTTTAGTAGAGACTGGGTTTTGCCATGTTGGCCAGGCTGGTCGCAAACTCCTGACTTAAAGTGATCCTCCCACCTTAGCCTCCCCAAATGCTGGGATTGCAGGCATGAGCCACTGTGCCCAGCCTCAGATTGTATTTCTGTTGGACAGAACTGCCCTAACTGGTTATTTATTTGTATATGAAAACTATTGATTTATGTTTGTTAACTTTATTAATTTATTCTCAGATGGAGTTTTGCTCTTTTTGCCCAGGCTGGAGTATAGTGGCATAATCTTGGCTAACTGCAGCCTCCACCTCCCAGGTTCAAGCGATTCTCCTATCTCAGCCACCCAAGTAGCTGGGATTACAGGCATGTGCCACCACTCCCAGCTAATTGTTTGTATTTAGTAGAGACAGAATTTCACTTGTGTTGGCCAAGCTGGTCTTAAACTCCTGACCTCGGGTGATCCACCGGTCTCGGCCTCCCAAAGGATTGCAGGCATGAGCCACTGCGCCCAGCTCTCTCTTATTGATTGATTGATTGAGATGGAGTTTCACTCTTGTTGCCTAGGCTGGAGTGCAGTGGCACGATCTTGGCTCACTGCAGCCTCCGCCTACTGGGTCCAAGTAATTCTCCTGCCTCAGCCTCCCGAGTAGCTGAGACTACAGATGCACACCAGCATTCCTGGCTAGTTCTTGTATTTTTGGTAGAGATGGAGTTTCACTATGTTGGCTAAGCTGGTCTTGAACTCCTGCCCTCAAGTGATTTGGCCTCCTAAAGTGCTGGAATTACAGGTGTGAGCCACCACATCCGGCCTGTATGTTAATTTTGTATCTTCTACTTTAGGGAATTGTTTTACTGTTCTGAGTCTTGCTGTTGATTCTCTAGGTTCCCAGGCATTCTGTTACGTATGTATGTGTGCAAATAGAGAAAACGTTTTCAATTCTTATGCCTCTAATTGTTTTGTTTTGTTTAACTTCGTCCTTTCTGATCTTAACAGAAATATCCCTGGCGTTTCCACATTAAGTAAGATGTTGGCTTTAGGGCTAAGGTTTATATTATAATTATTTAAAATTAGCCACATTAAAAAAATTTAGGCCAGGCGAGGTGGCTCATGCCTGTAATCCTAGCACTTTGTGAGGCCGAGGCAGGCAGATTGCTTGAGCTCGGGAGTTCGAGACCAGCCTGGGCAGCACCGTGAAACCCTGTCTCTACTACAAAATTTAAAAAATTAACCTGGTGAGGTGGTGGGCGCCTGTCGTCCCAGCTACTCGGGAGGCTGAGGCAGGAGAGTCACTTGAACTCAGGAGGCAGAGGTTCCAGTGAGCCGAGATCGGGCCACTGCACTCCAGCCTGGGTGACAGAGCAAGGTGACAGAGCAAGACACCGTCTCCAAAAAAAAGAAAATGAATGTTAAAATCCAGCGATTGCTCATATCTTGAGTGTGTTTCATTAGGAATGGGTGTTGCACTTTGCCAGAGGTTTCCTGGCGTCTGCAGAGATGATCGTGATGTTTTTCCTTAGACCTATTAATATGGTATGTTACATTGTTTGGTTTTTAAGTATTGAACTGAACTTGAATTCCTGGAATAAAGCCCACTTGATTGTGGTATGTTGTATTCTTTGGTTTTGGAATAGAAATCCCTGTGCCAGCCCTTAGACCTGGTGTGGTTTCTGTGGTAGGTGGTTGCTAGCAGTCTTCTCTCCTCTCTGGAAATTGGTCTGTCTCTAGTGAGGTTAATTTTGGTAAACCATCTTTCCATAGTAAATTATTCTTTTCAACTAGATTTTCAAATGTATCTGCATAGATGCCTGTAAGGTAGGCTCATCATATTTTTAAATTTCTTTGCAATGATTATTTTTGCCTGTCATTTCTTATTTTGTACATTTTGCTTAAGTTAGTGGTTTGTGTATTTTGTTAGTTTTTAAAAATCATCTTGATTTATTATTTAGGTTTGCTGTTTTTCTTTACCTCCTTTCTTTCTTTTTATTTTTTATTTAAGACAGGGTCTTACTCACATTGCCCGGGCTGGAGTGCAGTGGCACAGTCACAGCTCACTGTAGCTTCAACCTCCCCTGAGCTCAGGTGATCCTGCCACCTCACCTTCCCAAGTAACTGGGACCACAGGTGCGCGCCACCACACTCAGCTAATTTTTTGTAGAAACTGCATTTCACCAGATTGTCCAGGCTGATCTCAAACTCCTGGACTCAAGCCATCTGCCTGCCTAGGCCTCCCAGAGTGCTAGGATTACAGGTGTGAACCACCGTCCCCAGCCTACCTTGTTAATTTCTGCTTTTATCTTTATTTTCTTTCTGTGTGCTTTCTTTTGTTGGGTTTTTTCCTAACTTTTTAATTTAGAAGTTTAGTTCATTTTTTTCTCCCATTTTTATTGATTAAAGAGTTTAGCATGTGGAATTTTCCTCTGATAGATAATTTATTCTTTTTCTTTTTTTTTCTTTTTTTTGAGACAGAGTCTCAATCTGTCGCCCAGGCTGGAGTGCGGTGGCACAATCTCGGCTCGCTGCTACCTCCACCTTCCAGGTTCAAGCAATTCTCCTGTCTCAGCCTCCCAAGTAGCTGGGACTGCAGGTGCCCACCACGATGCCTGGCTAATTTTTGTATTTTTAATAGAGAAGGGGTTTCACCATATTGGTCAGGCTGGTCTTGAACTCCAGCCAGTCACCAGTGGCACCAGTGATTGTGGCCCCCATCCAGCTGTGTGCCCTCAGGGGTACAGTTGGGATCCACAATAGCCAAGGCTGTCAGAGAGCAGGTCCTTAGAGACCAGGTTACATTTCTGCAAATAAATAGATATGAAGGCACTTTGCCTGGTGCCGTGTGAACAGTCAAAAATATTAGCTGCTGTTACGCAAGTAAAACGTGCCTTACGGTACTATGGAAATTCTCCAGTGATAGAAAGAAATGGGGTGTTTATTAAAGATTCTGAAAAACTGTCCCATGTCGAGGTTCTGTGGGGAAATGGAGACCCGCCTTTAACAAAGAACTGCCACTGGTTCCCATCCTCTTTGTTCACGTTGATGGGGCTGGATGCTGTGTGCACGACTTCCCCGACCCCTCCCCCAGCTCAGATGTGTGCTGATGGAGCCCCTTTGATACTGAAGACTCACATAAGGCCCCAGGAAGGTACTCAGGATTGAATTAGATGAGGGAACAGAGCAGAAGAGCGGGGTGGAAATTCTCAAACTTGCCTGAGAATCTAGGAAATTGAGTAATCCGGAATCTGATTTCCCTGCTGTCCTGCCTAGTTTCAATGACGGTTGTGTAACTGCAGCATGAAATGTAGCCTTGCTTTTTGTTTGGAACAACTCAAAAATATTTGACCAGGCACAGTGACTCATGCTTGTAATCCCAGCACTTTGGGAGGCCAAAGTGGGTGGATTGTTTGAACCCAGGAGTTCAAGACCAGCCTGAGCAACATGGTGAAACCTCGTCTCTACCAAAAATATAAAAATTACTCAGGCATGGTGGTACACACCTGGGATCCCAGCTACTTGGGAAGCTGAAGCAGTAGGATTGCTTGAGCCTGGAAGACGGAGGTTTTAGTGAGCCGAGATCATGCCTGGGTGACGGAGAGAGACTTCATTTCAAACAAAAAGGAAAGTTTTTGATGAAATCTCGGGATGTCATATGGGTGAGATGGATGCCTGGGAGAATCACCTTCCTATAGGGTTGGTGTCTGGGTCCTCTTCCAGCCAAGGGCACATTTGAGGGACAACACTTTCCTTCCCCTGGGCCTGCCCTTTGGGCAGCTTCTGCTGGCACCCATGCTCTGCCTGCCTCCAGCAGAGACTCAGGGCAGTCCCTGGGCTTGCATGCAGTTCAGATTTCTGGGAATCTTCTTGCTAAAGGGCTCTGACGGGTCACCTGTCATGTGATGACCAGGCACATGGGGAGTCCAGGTTCTAGCAAGCGTGTCTTCTAATGGGACCTGAAGCCACGGTTGCTTTGCTTAGCAGACACATGAGTTCCGTGGTTTCCAGGTCAGACCTGGGTGTTCATAAGCACACCAGAGAGATCTGTCCTCCTTTGGCCTTCTGTAAGATCTCGTTTCAAAGAAAATGTTTACAGTTTTTGAAGTTGTTTAAATTGAGTGAAGCCAAATGATTTCTTCTGTTCTGATAAGATAGCCTGCTGCTGTAATTTGACTTGCTTCTTCTCTTTTATTTTACAGATGATGTCTTTCTACCTAAAGATATTGACCTAGACAGTGTGGATATGGATGAGACAGAGAGGGAAGTGGAATATTTCAAAAGGTAAATGAGGAGGCTGAAACCGTGGTGGTTGTGTGCTTGCCATACCTGTTTGGTTTTTTGTCTTTACATGGCACTCGTAGTTGTCTTGGAGGAAGTTAGCTCTAGCAAGCCAGACAGGCTGGCTAGGGAAGAGCCTCGTAGCAGGACAGCCAGCCACACGCTCTCCCACAGTCCCAGCACTCACACAGTCACTTTTCCTCTCCCTCACGTGCTCAAAAAATTGTTGATGACAGTGACTTCCCCCCGCCCCTCCCCACCAAGTGGCTGTTTCACTTCTGAGGCGGTGGCTTTCAAGGTGTCCTGGGCCAGCAGTGTCTCCTGGGGATACAGGCAGGCCCCTTCCTAGACCTGCTGGATCAGATTCTGGGAAACAGCCTCTGTGTTCTTGAAAGCCTTCAAGGTGACCCTCACATGTACTGATGGTTGAACACACTGGAGTGTCATGCTTTTAAGGAGAAAAGTAACATTTCAGATACGTGCTGTTTCTCGATGGGCAAACTTTTAACAGTCCTATGTTCTATAATGTTTTATCTACTGTGTGAATTATTAATGGCAACAACATTTGATCTGTTATATTTTTTTCTTTTGAGAGGGAATCTCGCTTTATTGCCCACGCTGGAGTGCAGTGGCACGATCTCGGCTCACTGAAACCTCTGCCTCCCAGGTTCAAGCAGTTGTCCTGCCTCACACGCCTGGCTAATTTTTGTATTTTAGTAGAGATGTGGTTTCACTATGTTGCCCAGACTGGTCTCAAACTCCTGATGTCAGGTGATCTGCCCACCTCAGCCTCCCAAAGTGCTGGGATTACAGGTGCGAGCTACTGCGCCAGGCCTGTTTATTTACTTTTTTATTTTTTGAGACAGAGTCTGTCGCACAGGCTGGAGTGCAATGGTATGATCTTGACTCACTGTAACCTCCACCTCCTAGGTTCAAGTTACTCTCCCGCCTCAGCCTGCCAAGTAACTAGGATTATAGGTGCCCTCCACCACGCCTGGCTAACTTTTGTATTTTTAATGGAAATGGGGTTTTACCATGTTGGCCAGGCAGGGCTTAAACTCCTGACCTTAAGTGATCCACCCACCTCAGCCTCCCAAAGTACTGTGATAACACGTATGAGCCACTGCACCCGGCCAACAAAATTTTATTTTATTTTAAAGTTTCGTATTTTTGTCTGGAAACAAACACTTTACCCTCTTTGTTTCAAATAATACAGAATAGCAATGTGCAATACAAAAATCCATTAATTTATATCTAAATCATTAGAATTCTATATGTTTCTGGAAATTCTATCTACTTTTAATATCATTTATATATGTACATATTAGGTGGAGAACAGTTTTTGCTAAAGTTAAGCATTCATTTATATTGTAAAAATTCAACAGAACTAAACTGGAGGCCACGCATGGTGGCTCACACCTATAATCTCAGCACTTTGGGAGGCCAAGGCGGGTGGATCACTTGAGGTCAGGAATTTGAGACTAGCCTGGCCAACATGGTGAAACCCCGTCTCTACTAAAAACACAAAAGTTATTCAGGCATGGTGGTGTATACCTATAGTCCCAGCTACTCTGGAGTTTGTGGCAGAGGACTCACTTGATCCCAAGAGGCAGACGTTGCAGTGAGCCAAGATAGCACCACTGTACTTCAGCCTGGGCGACAGGATAAACTCCGTCTCAAAAAAGAAAAAAGTGAGTCGGGCATGCACCTGTAGTCCGAGCTACTCAGGAGGCTGAGGCCAGAGGGTCACTTGAGCCCAGGGGTTTGAGGTGGCAGTGAGCTATCATTAAACCTCTGCAGTCTAGCCTGGACGAAAGACCAAGACCAAACACTTTTTTCCCCAAAGAATAGATACATATCGATTGTGTTCTTTAGCCATAATATAGTTTAATTAGAGATTTACTATAAATCAATTTTTAAATCACAAAATATTTGGAAATCTAAAAGTATTGAAGTTTAAGTAACTCATAAGTCAAGAAACCACAGTAAAAAAAAAAAATTTTTTTTTTTTTTGAGATGGAATCTCACTCTATTGCCCAGACTGGAGTGCAGTGGTGCAATCTCAGCTCACTGCAGCCTCCGCCTCTTGGGTTCAAGTGATTCTTCTACTTCAGCCTTTCAGGCTGGGATTACAGGTTCCCGCCACCATAACTGGCTAATTTTGTGTTGTTAGTACAGATAAGGTTTCACCATGTTGGCCGGGCTGGTCGTGAACTCCTGACCTCAGGTGATCCACCTGCCTCGCCTCCCAAAGTGCTTGAATTACAGGTATGAGCGACGGCACCCAGCCAGTCAACATTTTTAAATGCACAGAACTAAAAGATAATTGAAACACTGCATATGAAAACCTGTGGGATGCCGGGAAAATGTTAACTTTTTAGAGCTGTTTATATAAAGCTGTAATTGTCAAAATTAGTTTTTAAAAATCCCGAAACATAATGAGTTAAAAACTTCAGTTGAGAAATTAAGAACAACAGAATAAACCCAACGAATGTATAAAGGAGACGAGAGATCATGAAATAGAAAAGAAAGGTATAGTATAGAAGATCAATCAGGCTAAAATTTGATTGATTGAAAACAGCAAATCTTTAGGAGACTGGTTAAGAAACGTAGGGGAAAAAAAGACACAAAAAACAGCATAATTAGATGGAAGAAGAATTTGGGCGTTGGTAATTATCAAAGTCAGGTGATGCTTATGTTCATTATACTATACTGTCCATTTTTGTGTGTGTTTGAACATGTCTCTAATTAAACAAAATGGTTGTGGCCGGGTGCTGTGGCTCATCCTGTAATCCCAGCACTTTGGGAAGCCAAGACAGGCAGGTCACTTGAGCTCAGTTCAAGCCCAGTGTGGGCAACATGGTGAAACCGTGTCTCTACAAAAATACAAAGAAAGGCTAGATCCAGTGGCTCATACCTGTAATCCCAGCGCTTTGGGAGGCTGAGGCAGACAGATTACGAGGTCAACAGATCAAGATCATCCTGGCCAACATAGTGAAACCCTGTCTCTACTAAAAATACAAAAATTAGCTGGGCATGGTGGCATGCACCTATAGTCCCAGCTACTCATGAGGTTGAGGCAGGAGAATTGCTTGAACCTAGGAGGCAGAGGTTGCAGTGAGCCGAGATTGGCCTGGCGACAGAGTGAGGCTTCGTCTCAAAACAAATAAACAAGTGTGTGTGTCTGTGTGTGTTAGCCAGATGTGGTGGTATGCGCCTGTAGTCCCAGCTACTCAGGTGGCTGAGGTGGGAGGATGACTTCAGCCCAGGAGGTGGAGGTTCCAGTGAGCCGACATTGTGCAACTGCACACCAGCCAGGGGGACAAGAGCCCTGTCTCCAAAAAAGAAAAAAAAGATTGGTGGGGTTTTTTTTTAGTTTTGTAAATATATAAGTGAAAAGGAGGAAATAACTACAGATACTGCAGAGATTAAAATAAGAGACCACGGGAACAACTTCATTACAATTGATTTTAAACCTCAGATGAAATGCAAAATCAACTCAAGGTAAAAATAGAAAGCCTGAATGGTCCAGTAACTACTGAAGAAATGAAAACAATAGCTATATGTCTTCCCAGTAAGAAAACTACATTTTAACAGTTTTACCGAGAATTCTACCAGACTTTCAAGCTTTCAACAAATAGATTATTCAGGCTTGAACAAATTCTGCCAGTGAATGGAAGTGAGTGGGACAGCACACACACAAGTGAATACTGCCTACTTTGTTTTATGAGACAAGTAAAATTGTGATACTAAAATCTGCCCAAAACAATACCAGAAAAAAGGAAAAATCACAGGTTTGTCATGTACAAATTCTAAAGAAAATATTTTCATACTATATCAGTGTAATTAAAAAAAAAAAGAAATTACCAAATTCGGCAGCGTATTTTAAAAAGCAGTTTACCACGACCAAATTGTTTTATGCCGGGAGTTCAAAGAGTCTTTCATATTAGAAAATCCACTTCATTGGTCACGTGCAGTGTCTCGTGCCTGTAACCCCAGCGCTTTGGGAGGCCAAGGCAGGTGGATCACCTGAGGTTGGGAGTTCGAGACCTGCCTAACAAACATGGAGAAACCCCATCTATACTAAAAAGACAAAATTAGCTGGTCGTGGTAGCGCATACTTGTAATCACAGCTACTCAGGATGCTAAGTCAGGAGAACTGCTTGAACCTGGGAGGCACAGGTTGCAGTGAACTGAGATCTCACCGTTGCACTCCAGCCTGGGTAATAGGAGCAAGACTTTGTCTCAAAAAAAGAAAAAATCCGCTGACTTATTTATTTGAGACAGGATCCGTACAATGACACAATCACTGTTCCCTGTAGCCTTGACCTCCCCAGGCTCAAGCAGTCCTCCCACCTCAGCCCTCCAAGTAGCTGGGACTACAGGCACATGCCACCATGCCTGGGTATTATTATTATTTTTTTTTTTTGTAGAAATGGGGTTTCACCATGTTGCCCAAGCTGGTCCTGAATTCCCGGCCTCAAGTGATCTGGCCGCCACAGCCTCCCCAGGTGCCGGGATCGTAGGTGTGAGCCCTCGTACCCAGCTAGAAAGCCCACTAATAAATATTACTAGTTGCTACATTAATATATTAAAGAAGAGCCATATGGTCATGGCTCAGTATATTGTAGATCAGTAGATCCCAAAAAAAAGGATTTTATATTCAACCTTAAATTGTAATTCTTAGGCTAAAGGAATAGAAAAGAGGAAATGAAACTCAGTTTTGCAGGTGATGTAATTGTCTACATTGGAAACAGAAAAGAACTTAACAGCGGGGGGTGTGTAGGGTCAGCACAGGAGTTACTTGCTTTTGCTTTTTTGTTTTTAAACAGAGCACGGTGGCTCACGCCTGTAATTTCAGCATTTTGTGAGGCTGAGGTGGAAGGATCACTTGAGCCCAGGAGTTTGAGACCAGCCTGAGCAACATAGTGAGACATTGTCTCTACAAAAAATAAAATAATTAGCCAGGTGTGGTGACGTGCACCTGTGGTCCCAGCTACTCG